AGCTATAAAAGAAGTATTAATTTATTGGAGGGGAAAAAAAATAATAATAATAAAAAAAAAAGATATAAAGCAGATTTCCCCCACCCCCAAAATAATAAAAAGAAATAAACTTTAACAAATATATATTTAAAAGATTTTAAAATATTAGCAATTATATATAAAGCAGTTTAAAAGAAATCAAGAGAAAACTGGATTTTAGCTTGAGAAAAACTATTAGATTATACTAAGCTGTGTGTCTTGTGGCAAACTCATTCTACGAGTAGCACAATATTTACCTTTTCTCTGGGTGGAAGGTACGTGCGAGCGGTTCTGGTCGGGTTTTCCGTTGGGATTCAGTGTCGCGTCTTTCTTTTTTCCACCGTTACGAACTCAAAGGATGTGCCTTGTTTTATGGAGGTTTTTGTTAATTCTTACACTGGAGGTGTTTCATTTCTTTTGGAGTGTCTTCAGGGTTTGGTTTAGGTTTCTCCTGGTTCCTTTAGCTGTCGGTATTTGTCTGGGGTGTGTGTGGTGTGCGTGGGTGTGCACGCGGGGTGCGTGTGCTCGCGTGCGTCCTCCGGGATGCACCGCTGTATATTCCTGTATAAACTGGAGTTGGAGTCTGGTTCAGTCGCTTGAGTCCTGATGAATGCATTTTTTGCTTGTGGTTTCCAAACAAAAGTGTTGCTGTTCCTTTCTTTTCTTGAGACGGTCTCTCCCCTCTTCTCTCTCCCCCCATCCCTCTCCCCCTTTCCCTCTCTCCCCGTCTCTCCCGTTGTGGTTGCTGATCCAGATGTGTTTGGCACAACTTTGAAATTTCTTTTAAAAAAAACAAAAAAATCAAAAACAAACAAACAAAAAAGACTTTAAAAATAATTTAAAAAAAAAATAAATCACCCGCCTGAAAATATCTGTTGAAAAGAAAAAAAATATGTATCTTAAAAAAAAAAAATCCATAAAGTTCTACATGATGGATATATACATATATATATTTTTTATGATTAAGTTATGGACTCTGTATTGTATCCCATCTGTCCAGCTCTGCATCTTGGTGCTGCTCCCTGCTCTTCTGTGCTTAGATTTCACCTCTACTCGTCCTTATTCTTCCTATTCTGAATAGTAGATGGCTCGTGGTGCTGTGAAGACGTTTGCTCCTATACCAAGTCTGGCAACAAATATTTAAAGAAAAATAAAAAAAATAAAACCCCTGCCAGGCTGCCACCACTGTTTGTGTCCCCAAAGCATCCCGAGTCCTCGTGGCGTAGTCGTGTCATGCTGGGTGTTCAGTGTCATGGGGGGGTTTGTGCTGCACGGTCGGGGGCACCCTTGGGTGCCTCTGTGGGGTGCTGGGGCCTGGCTGGCTGGGAGCTGCTGTCCCCAGTCAGGTGCCTGGTCCCTGCATCCCAATTTTCACTCCACAGGGCCAGTGCTGGTCCCTGCAATAACTCACGCTGGGCAGGAACAACTCTTTCTGCTTTTATTGTCAATGAAGAAATAATCAAATCTATATTACAATCTTAAAAACAGTAGAAAATGTGAGTAAAAATGCAACGGAGGCTTTTTGTCTTTAATGTGGAGACCATAATTACAGGGTGGTGAACAATGGGCTTGTGGAACTTGATTTGAGAACTAGCTGTGGCATAAAAATCGTACCTGGCTACTCAAGGAAATACCTCTTCCCAGATGGATCGGCCCCGGCGCCTTGGCAGTAAAATTAAATACTAGAGACAGAAAGGGGTCGGGTGCCCACCCAGGGCAGGGCCTAATGCTCAGTCCTACCATGGCCAGGGAGCAGCCTCCCAGTGTCACCACTGGGACACGCTGATCCATCCAGTCCCATCACTGGCCAAGGGCTGTGCTCGCCCGGCCTGGAGCCCTGGGGCCCAGAGTCACCCCAGCCCCAGCCCCAGGGGTGTCCCCAGCTGGGGGGACACAGGCAGAGGAAGGCACTGGATATGCTTCCTCTGCTTTTCCAATCATCTAGGGCAGATCTGGGGGAACATCTGGAGCATCCATGGGGCAGACCCATCGGGAGAGCCGCCAGCCGGGATCCCTGCGGGGGGGCCGGCCCAGGGGCAGCAGCAGGCAGTGGTTGGTGCAGGAGGAGCTGCAGCAGTCATTTCGGAGGATGTGGTCACCCACAGGCCGATGGAGGGGAGAGTTTTTGGTCTTTCAGTGTGCAGGACTAGTGTGAAGCTCTCACTAGCACGTCCAGACCTGTGGAGACAAAGGAACCCACGGCAGTGACTCCTGAGCAGCTCTGGGGGCTTCTCTTCATCCTCCCACAGCACCTCCTTTTGGGCTGCCACCATCCACAACACCCTGGCCAGGAGTGGAGTCTCCCACCTGTTGAGAACTACCCCCTTGTGCTACAGAACCACATTTAGGTTGGAAAAGCCCTCCCAGCCCATGGAGTCCCCCCTGTGCCCAATCCCCATCTTGTCCCCCAGCCCAGAGCACTGAGTGCCACGTCCCGTTGTTCCTTGGACACCTCCAGGGCTGGGGACTCCACCACCTCCCTGGACAGCCCATTCCAGTGTTTAACAACCCTTTTCAGTGAAGAAATTCTTCCTGATGTCCAATTTGAACCTCCTCTGGCACAGCTTCTTGTCCTGTCACTTGTTGCCTGGGAGAAAAGGCCGACCCCCACCTTGCTACAACCTCCCGTCAGTTTGTCTGAAGACGATTCCTAACTCATTTAATGCCCCAATTCCAGCACTGGAAGAGCACAAACCATGCTGGAGCAGGCTGGGGTGACCCACCTTTACAGTGCTGTCCACAGCGCCGGAGAAGAGGCGGCCACGGGACACGGCGAGGGCGGTGACGCTGCCCTGGTGCCGCAGCAGCGTCTGGGTGCAGATCATGTTGTCCATGCTCCACACCTGCGGGGACACGGCAGGCGTGAGCCACAGCCCGGGAAGGGGATCTCACGTCACAGGCCCCGAGGCAGGTGCCACACCGAGGGATGGGGATCCCCATCCCCCTTCCCTCGAGGTCCCCCGTGTTGTCCCAGCCCCGCACACGTACCCTGAGCGACCGGTCGTAGGACGCGCTGAAGACTTTGGTTTGATCTGGTGTGGAGATGACAGCGAGGGCATAGACCGTCCCCACGTGCCCTGTCAGCGTGCGGACCTGCTCCTTTGTTTCTATATCCCAGACCTGCGGGGGAAGAGCTGGGCTCGGAGCTGTGCTGGGATGAGGCCGCCGCCCTCTCCTCCGAGAGGTGTTTCCACCTCCACACACACTCCAAGGTGGGTGCTGTGCCCCCACGCTCCACGTGTGCCAGGGGGGACAGGCAGGGCCAGGTGCCCATCTCCACACCCCTCTCCCCCAGCCTCACTGCCAGGAATGCATCCCAGCCCGTCCCTTACGTGGATGAGGTTCTCGTAGGTGCCGCACACGATGTGGTGGTTGGTCACGGCGATGGAGTACACGCTGCCCCCGGACGTCTGCAGCACGTGGACACACTCCAGGTTGCGGATGTCCCAGATCTGATGGAGACACCAGAGCAAAGGCAGGATGAGACCCGTGCAGGAACCCCTCTCCAGGGGCGAGATCCCTTGCAGCCATTCTGCCACGCACTGAGTCAGCCTGGCTCCATGTGTGCCCAGATCACACCTTCAAGGACAAATCTATCCAGCTGGGAATGTTCAGTACTGATGATGAGCAAAGCCCTGCTGTCTTAATTGGCTACCCAGCTTTGAACATCCAGGCTGAAAATGTTGTGGAGACTGCTCACCCCGTGTGTGTGACTACACACACACATGCACACACGACCCACTCCCTGATAGCACTACAACCTGATGCAGACAAATTAACAGGGATTTATTAGCACTGAGGAGGGCAACTTGCAGTTCTGTGTCCCCCAGATGCTGAGGTGAAGTATTCATCAAAACCTGAGCCAGCACAGAGTGTGGAGGGCACTGGGAACCCTCACAGATTTATGGTAACTCTGCAGCCAGCCAGTGACCTTGCCTGTTATCAGCAGGAGTGGGAGCACAGATAAGGCTGCAGCAGCCGCAGAGGCAGCACGAGGCGCCAGGGCCGAGGCCCCAGTTTATCCCAGTGAGCCTCCCCAGCAGCCCCCAAGGCCCAGCCTGCAGAGATGCAATCAACACAGGAGAATCCCGTGTGTCAGCAGTCATCTCACATCCCAGCAGCTGCCTCTGGTCCTGCTCCACAGGGGAGCAGAGCACAGGGGGGCACAGGGAGAGCCGCTGGGTCCCACCAGTGCCAGGGTCCCACCTTGATGGTCTGGTAGGATCCACTGTAGAGATAGTTCTGGGAAGCCACCAGCGCTCGCACCCAGTGATTGAGACCTGTCAGCTCCTTCTTCAGCTTGAGCTCAGTACCTACAATATCCCAGACCTGTGGAAAGCACAGACAATACACAGAGACATGGAGGAGAATCCCAGTGGGGCTGGGCAGAACATGGCCGGTGCTCCCCACCCATGCCCACCCCGCAAGAGGCCCTCACAGCTTCTGTGGGGATCCTTGTGCCAGCTCTGCTGCCTGCTGGGAATGGCCTGAACCCACTGACTTGCAGATAAAACACAATAACTGCTGAGTCAGCACGTTCCCTGAGGGAGCCAGCCTGGACACTGCATTACTGCTGGCAGAGACCCTTCCCTAGCACAGCCACGGGCTTGAAAACCTAAACCACAGCTGCAGTAAGGAACTGCCCTGAGCTTCCACTCCCAGCCTGTCTCCACAGATCTCCATTCTCAGTCTCTGGCGTGCAGGGACTGATAGATCTCACTCTCCCCACTCTGAGCAGCACTCCTGGCCTGCTCAGCTCATCTGGCAGGAAGTGGCTGGGGATGGCAAACCCAAAAGGCCCCATATTCTCCTTCTGCTCAGTCTGGCTGCTCCCCCAGCCCTGAGCTCTCTCCAGAGCCGAACCAGTCCAGGCCCTGGTTAAAGAAAAGAGCACACATCCTCTTACAGATGGACGGGCCCATAAGCTGTCTCACCAGGAGCTGGAAGCAGAACCATGGGAATCCAGCCAAGGCTTTAAAGGGTAGCTTGCAAAGCTGTTCTCTGATTTCTGCATGTTTTAGGTAGAGAATGCAGACTCAAGATCCATTGGAGGCGGTTTCAAAACAGGCAGCCTGAATCCCCAGCCAATTCTGGAGCCCAGACATGATTCCCAATGGTCTTAGCAGGTCTGTTGGGGGTCCAAGGACACACACACTTGGGACTTGCCAGGATACTCCACCTGCAGCCTCAGGTTTACAGAGTTGGAAGAAATAAAGTGCTTTTGCAGCCAGGTCCCAGAACACCTTTGACTTGAGTGCAGAGTATGGGCTAAACCTTTGCAGTACTGGCTTCTCTGTGGCTCAGGAGAGCGCAGCAACAAGGTCACCTACAGACCAAAATGCCACTTTCTTCCTCTTTGGACACTTCTGTCCGACAGTTTGTACCCTTGGTCCCACACCAGCCCCAGAGGAGCCCCCTGAGCTGTACCTTGATGGCTTTGAGGGAGCCACTGAAGAGCATGTTGTGTGAGGAGACCAAAGTGCAAACAGGATTGTCGTGTGCTCGGATCGTGTTCACCTTCTGCAGGTTTTGAATATCCCAGACCTGCAAAGGAGAATCACAGAATCACAGAAGGGTTCAGATGGGAAAAGCCCTCTAAGATCATCGAGGCCAACCGTTCCCCCAGCACTGCCAAACCCACTAAGCAAGAGCACCCATGAGGGGCAGGGCAAGTCCTTCGTGCTGAGGCCCTTCCTGACATGCAGGTAGGACAGGGCACTCGTCTGAGCCACTGTCCTGGCTGATCAGGACCAACCACCCTGTCCCAGCTCACAGCACCAGCCTCCTGCTCCCCCCACAGGAGCAGGGACTGGGAAATCCAGCCTGCAGGAAACCCCCCCAATCCAACCCATGAGTGACTTGGCTGAGGCAGTGGGTAGAGCACACACAGGTTATCAGTCCCACACCACTGGCAGCTGAAGAGCCTTCCAGAAGAAGGTCCCTGCTCCTGAGCAGCCTGTGGCTCTCCCATCCCGGCTGCAGAGCGGGGTCAGGGTACTCACAATGATGGTGCAGTCAGCAGAGCCACTGTACAGCTTGTTCCTGGAATGTCACCAGAAGACAAAGGGGGGTCAGAGGAGGACAGTGCCATGTGCAGGTTCCCAGTTTGTCCCCAGGCACTGTCTGGGCCAGGAGCTGCAGTCCCACAGCCTCACTGGGACAAGACTTCACACACCCACCCCGAGAGCGGGGTTCCTGGCTCATGGGAGGCCAGGCTGGACTGGCCCTTGGAGCAGGAGGCCAAGCACCCTGCTGGTGACCAGGGACAAAGTCAGGACACAGGGGACACCACAAAGATGCCGCTTTGTCCATTTTTAAAAAGCAGAGGCAAGATGTGCTTCTGATGCACAATTTTGGCCTGTGCAGGGCAGAGGATGGGAACTGTCAGGGCATGCTCAGGAGCCCCCATGCTCTCCCCCGCTCTCCCCAGGGGCAGATGTCCCTCTCCACTCACCCCTGGATGCAGAGAGCCAGTACAATTCCATCATGACCCTCCAAGGTCTTTTGGCACTTGTATGTGGTACAGGTATCCCACACCTAACAGGAAACACGAGGCAGGAGTTGGGAGCGGGCAGGATGTCAGCAGCGGAAGGAGGAAACAGGCTGTCTGTCACCTGGGCACTGCCTGCCGAGTCCTGGGCACGGATACACTTGTCTGGGAAAGGAAATCTACTGCAAAGGGTCAGGCTGAAGTCAGTGAGACCCAGGACAGCAGCAGGTATCAGCCCTCTGCAGCTCTGTCCTCCTCGGCCCAGGCCAACACAACAAACCAAACCAGAGGAGCAGCTCTCAGGCTCCTGCTTCAGCAATTCTCACCCTGTCCTGGGGCTCCAGTGGCACAGCACAGCCTCCTCTGCCACTGCAAAGTTTTCCCCCTGAGCACACTCTGCTCTCTCAAGAGGGAATGTTGTGCCTGGAGCAGCCAGGACAGGGGAGTTTCTTTCCCTAAAGTACAGCAATATCCGTTTTCTTCCACGTGGCTCTAAAACCAAGGAAACTAAACCAAAGCTCTGCTCCTGGCAGGATTAGTCGTAGCAGCCCGTGGGGGTCCCCAGCCCAGCCAGCAGCCACCACAGTGACATTGGGAAGGGCTGTTTAAGCTGCACCAGAGCAGTGCTGTCAGTTTGAGTTACTGCAAACAGGACAAAGGAAAACAAACATGCCATAAAATGGGAAAAGGACACTTTGGATCAGGGACAAATGTTTTGTTCTAAGATGACTTTTTATAACAAAGGAAAATAAAATCAGAAGCTGAAATAGGCTTGAATACCCTAAACACCACATAAAGCAAATCCAGCAGCAGCAGGAATGCGATTCTAATCTGAGCTTTGCAAAAATAACTCTTGACTCTCAATTTCACTATCAAGTAATGTTTCCTCCCAGAGAATTTTGCCAAACTATAATCACAAAGAATCATTTAAGATTCTTTGGGAGAAAGTTTAAGAAGTGACATTACCCCCCCCAAACTGAACTCAGCTTCTGTCCCACATAACAGTGCAGAAGGTGCATGGAACAGACAAGCTCTTACCTTAATGGTTTTGTCTGAGGAGCCACTGAAGAGCAAGTCTCCTATGGAGTACACACACAAACACCACACAGGGCCCTGGTGGCCCACAAAGGTCCCCTTGCACTTGAAGATCTGCTGAGGATCATAGGCTGCAGAAAGGAGAGAGCAGGTGAGAGGTGGGAGGACAGTGCTGTTCCTTTGCACACCTGTAAACACCACCCAAAAGGGCTCCATGGGCCACCACCCACACCCAGCCCCAGGGGAGGAAGCCCACAGGGATACTCACATCCAAGGATGCCCATGTTGAGCCGAGCATTGATGTGGGAGAGCTCATCCTGAAAAACAGAACAAGCCACGTGAGCTTTCCACAAGCAGGGAGAAGGGTACAGTGTCCCTGGCAAGTGTAAAAGGCCCAGGCTTTGGAGCAGAGGGTTCTTCCCTTGCTGCAGGGCTCCTTTCCTCTGTTAACACATTCCCAGAGCAACAACAGGCCGAGAAAAGGCAGCAGAGCCAGTTCCAGCAGCAGCCCAGATGCAGTGACCAGCACTTGCTCCCCAGGCTGCCTCTGACTCAAACCCTTCCCCAGACCTCGACTGCAGTACAGGCAAACCAAACCTGGTGTGAGCAGAGCCAGCAAGCAGGGGGGACCCCAGAGCCTCTCCCACTGCAGGACAAGCCTAGCTAGGAGCTGAGCCAGCTAACTCCATGCAATCCCTGCTCCATCCCAGGGCCCCTCCTCACATTCAGCATGGAGGCATCCCTGCGGAATTCCATCAGGTCCTCGCTCAGCTTGCTCTGGTTCTCGTCCAGAACATCTACAAGAGAAGGACAGGCCCACAGTCACTGCAGAGCCACTGAGGGCATCCCAAGCAACAGGCAGAGGACACCCAACTGCCACCCAACCTCTGAACACGGAGGGAGGACACACTGCTGCTATTGGCTGGGAAAGCAGGAGGGTGTCTGTTCCTCAAATGGAAATTGTACCCGGATGCTAAGAACCAGCAAATCTGGGAGCACAACAGGGCTGGTACAGCAGGGGTGTCCAAGAGCCCTGCTCACTCCACGATAGCTGCACTGTTGGCTATTTGACCTGCTGATTTTTATAGGGGCCTGTGCCCATGGACTGCACAGGAAAAAGTCATAGGAGAAAGGTGGCAGCTGCCTGTAGACATTACTAGGACTTGCCACGTGACCAGTGAGTGCAGGATTAGGTCCCAGGATGTTCTGGCAGCAAAGTCAATGGAACCCCTATTTGTCCCTCTGCAAGGAATATCTGAACCTCCTGAAACCTGCTCAGCACCAGTTTTAAACACGGAATGAGTCCTGTAATGCATCATCCAAACAAAGAGCTTCCCTGTCCCTACAGCTCTGACCAGAGAGCTCGTCCAGAGCAGACTCACCAAACTTCAGCTCCAGGTTCTTCTCCAGCTGGTCGATTTTCTCAGAGAGCTTCCCCAGCATGGAGCGCAGGAAGGCGATCTCCTGGTCCTTCTGGGCCATTGCCACCTGCATCTCATGGAAGCGATCGTCTGTCTGCTGCAGGAACTCCTTCAGACCCTCGAACTTGCACGTCTCCAGGTGGGTCTCGTAAGTGTCTTGGTTTCCTATGAATGTACACCTGAAGGGAAGGCAGACGCTGGCTGGAGCAGGGCTCCCATGGAGACTCCTTGCTCAGCCGGCTCCTCGCTGGAGCTCCAAGGCCCGTGTGGCTCCCAAGCTGTCCTGCTCTTCCCACCAGCAGCAGGGCTACTGTGGTTCATTATCCTTCAAAGGATGGATTCAATAATTTTGGATGTCTTTTCCAATCTTAATGACCCCATGATCCTGCTGGGTGCAGGCAACTGCAGGGCAACATGGAGGCCAAGCAGCTCCTGTTCTTCCAGCCAGAGCATTGGCCCCAAAACAGACTGTCAGTCTGGGTAGTTGCAAGGAAAAGCAGATCTCGGGCAAGAGACAGTGTGGTGTCAGTTTATGTGCTCACCAGGAGCACCAAAATAAGTGGAAAAAACTGGAGCTGACCTCAGCAGATGCTGACTTGGGCCTGCAGCATGGCAGGGAGTCAGGGATGCTCTGCCAGGACTTGTCTTCCCCTGCCTCTGCCAAGACATGTCTAAGGATCATACAATCACAGAGCTGTTGAGGTTGGAAAAGGCCTCTAAGACCATCGAGTCCAACCATTCCCCCAGCACTGCCAAGCCCAGCACTAACCCATGTCCTCAAATGCAACATTGGCTTTTAAGTCTCTCCAGGGATGGTGACTCCACCACTGCCCTGGGTGGTGGGTTGGACAACCCTTTGTGTGAACCCTCCTCCTGCAGTAACCCCAAGCAGGGAAGGCCCAGCCCGAGCTGTCCCCCTGCTCTGGTGACAGTGAACCCTCTGGGGCAGATCAGCACTTCCCTCGCCCTGGTTGGCAAGACACTGCCACGGTGCTCGAATTACTCTTGTAATCCTCCTCCCTTCATGCTCTGACTCTCCTCCAGCTGTTCTTCTGCCTCCTCACACCTCACCCTCCTCCTGGGCTCACACCTGGGCACCAGGACCTGCCTGTTCCCACCAGGAGAGGGGTTCAGGGGCTGCCTCCTGCAAGCCCTGTAACCCTCAGCTCGGCCTCAGGCTGAGCACAGCACTGGGGAGAGCTGCTCGGAGTCCTTAGGGTCACCCCAAGGCTGCAGCGACCAAAAAGCAGCTCAGAAGTTACCTCAGGTCACCTTCCCCACTCAAAAGCATCAGGTCCTTACCCGTACTTGGAGTGGGGACACTTGATGTGCTCGCACTCCTTGAGGTGTGCCTCCAGGTTCATTTTGAGCAGAGGAGGGCAGCTGGGGTTGTTGGGGCAGCGCACGGGCCGGTAATCACAGCTGCTCTCATGGTCCCTGCCCACGGAGAGAAGCAAAGGGAGGGAAAATCAGCAATGAGCAAAAATTAATGGAAGTAACACAGGTTGTCAGGAAAGGAGCAAACCAGCCCTGTAAGGCTGTCAGGTCCAAAGCCTCCTGCTCTAAGACTGCAATTCCAGCTTTTAATTCTCATTTGACCAGAAAATTAAGAGTAATAACAAGCCACGTTTACACAGGGCATATCTACTTCTGCAGCTGAAGGGCTGAGCCTTCAAGCACCCACAAACAACAGCTTTCCACAAGCAGGGAAAGCTTGTGGAAATCCCTATCAGTCCAATCCCTATCAGCCAGGTAATAGGGAAAACAGGGAATGCATTTAGGAGGGGGAGGCAGACAGATTTCAGATTCTCAGGATATAACTAGGATAATTCCTCTCACAAAAAGAATCCCAAGGTCTCTGCTTGACCATACCACAGCGTTTCGCCCCAGAAGTGAGGGGGCTGCTCTCACAGCGTCCCTGTCCCAGTGCTGGTACTCAGGTAAGCTGGGAGCAGAGAACAGCATCCTTCCCCTGAGACCAGCCCATGTACCACCATCCCAAAACTGATTTATCCCCTCAGCCCCCCTGCCCACTCCCACTCCCACTCCCACTCCCGGCAGCGCTGGCAGGAGCGGCGCGGCCCCGGAGCCGCAGGGCAGCTCAGGTGTGGCAGGCTGGCGCAGCCCTTTCCCTGAAGAGGCTGGAACAGGGCACTTACTTCCTGGCACTCAGCTTGATGGTGAAGGGGCACCCTCGGGGGTCCACCTCGAAGGCGGTGGGCTTGCTGCTGGCCGCGGCTCGGCACCCGTACTTGCAGTGGATGAAGAGCTCCCCGATCTGCTCGGCCACCGCGATGTTGTTCACCACCACGGTCAGTTTGGCATTGTCCACGGGGCACTTCTCTGCCAGGGAGGGACGGAAAACACAGTCAGCAAGGATTAAAGACAGTGCAGGAGCATTTCCAGGAGCCTCTGCCTGGAGACTTTATTCTTTTGCCTTCCCTGGCCAAGTCAGCCAAGTCCCAGGTGGGTGGCCGTGGAACGAGCCATGAATATTACACAAGGTCTGTGAGCCACTATCTTTAGTTAGTCTTGGCGCTTGGAAAAGTTACAGTTTTTGTTAAGCCATGATAATTTGAGCAAGCTACCAATGAAGAATGGCCACACTGGGACAGGCTCCCCAGGGAAGTGGTCATAGCACCAAGCCTGAGTTCAAGGAGCATTTGGACGATGCCCTCAGGTACATGGGGGGATTGCTGGGGTGTCCTGTGCAGGGTCAGGAGCTGGACTCAATAATCCTGATGGGTCTCTTCCAGCTGACCATATTCTATAATTCCAATTCAGACTACCTTGTGCCTGGTGAAGTGTGAGTGTTCATAGGCAGAAGCCCCATCCATAACGTCCTCCCTCACCCAGGCCTGGGCTCAGCTCCAGCTCCCAGCAGCACCATGGGCCAGCAATCACAGAATCATTTAGGCTGGAAAAATCCTCCAAGACTAATGACTTCATGCTTTGACCGATGTCCACCTTGTCCCCCAGCCCAGAGCAGTGAGTGCCATGTCCAGTCGTTCCTTGGACACCTCCAGGGGTGGTGACTCCACCACTTCCCTGGGCAGACCCTTCCAAGGCCTGATCACACTTTCCAGCAAGAAATTCTTCCTGATGTCCAACCTGAACCTCTCCTGGCACAGCTTGAGGCCCTTTCCTCTTGTCCCATCACTTGTTACCGGGGACAAGAGGCCAACTCACATCTGGCTACGACAGAGGCAGAAACATGAGCTTGGAGGGCAGGAGCAAAGCTGAGCAACTTGGGATTGCAACTGCAAAGCCTTTTGCTACAGAACATGTGGGTTGAGACAGATATAGCAAAGCACAGTGAGGGGATTATCATGCAAAGCAGAGGGACCCTCACATGTGGAAGGTGAAAATTGTAAGGCAGAAAGAGCTGCTTTTCTGCAGAACTTGCCCCTCCTGGGCTCATTGTGCTGGTAATGCCAATGGCTTGGCTTTGTGCTGAACAACAACTTGCCAAGAGGGGCACAGGCTTGTGCCAAAAAAAGTCTTTTTTGCAGTGCAGAGTCCAATCCAAGTGGGAGCTGGTTATCCCAGGCCAGCAGCCAGAGGCTTGGGCTCCCTCAGGGTTCTGGAAGAGCTGGGTGAGCTAAAGCAGCTCTGTGGGGCACAACCAGGGGCCAGAGCGCTGGCACTGAGGGGCTGGGGGAGGAGGGGCTGATGGGGCTCTGCCAAACACAGCCCCCCTGTTCCTTAGCCAGGCAGCCACAGAAAGCTTTCTGTCTGAAATCAGTGGGTCAGCTCTGGGCGAGACGTGTATTATCCTGGGATTATCCATGGCATACTCCACGATTTGAGAACATCCTGTGCCCAAGAGCTGGGCCCAGCCCTCTCTCCAGTGCCCAAGCTCCAGTGTGTTCCATGGGAGCTGCACGGCCCCTGCCCTCACCGCTGCAGTGGCAGATCTGACTGACAGCTTGTTTTAAGCCCTTTGAATATTTTTCTGCAGGTTTCTTTTTAAGTGAAAGCAAACAAACCAGAAAATAACAGTGTTTTGGCTGCATCACACAAGAGCAGTTCTGTACTCACCAGATGTTAAGGCACATCTTCTACAAAACGTGTGCTGTGGAGACAGAGAGGAACAGCAGCGTCAGCGTAAAACGAGAGCAGGCTAATTATTCCCTGTGGACAATGATGGGAAAGGTGGAAGATACCCAAGCCTGTGGCTCAGGGGCCTCGGCAGCTGTTCTGCCTGCTTTAGCTCAGCACCACAGGGCAAAGCCCAGCTGCTTGCTCAGGGTGCAGCACAGGTCCTGCTCCTGAGAGTATTAAACTTTGATGTTCTGCCCCGTTCAGGACCAGGCCATGATTGTGGTGACAGCCAAAGCCACGGGCATGTTCTGCTACACTCTGATATTCACAGAATCACAGAATGGTTTGGATTGGGAGGGACCTAAAGATCATCCTGCTCCAACCCCCTGCCATGGGCAGGGACACCTTCCACTAGACCAGGTAGCTCAGGGCTCCGTCCTGCCTACTCTTGAACATGTCCAAGTCCTTCCTACCCTCCACATCTGCATGGGGTTTCCCTACTTCACCTTCCACTTTAGCCCATATTATGCCTCTCACAACCCTGAGAAGTCCTCAAGGGAAGGAGCAAGGGGAAGACTGGCCTTTCCCTGTCTTTGCCCAGTCAACCCATTACACATATGTCCCTGAAACTCTTCTAAGGCAGCTGGAGCTGCCCTGTCATGCTGCCAGGAAGATGGAACAGCTGGTTTGTAAGTCCATTAAATGCTCTGTAAATTGTAGCACTTTAAATAGCTCCCTCTCTCTGTTCTTGCAGTTTAACTTGATGAAGTAACAAACACAATCTGCCACACTCACGAATATAAAGGCTGCAGCATTTCACTGCTCCTGACCTTGCCCCGTGGGCTCCCTGGAGCCTCCTCAGCCACATTCCCCTGCCACAGGGCCAGCGCCCGGCAGCGGCTGCGAGTCCCTCCCCAGAGCTGTTATCTGTTATCTGCTGCCCTGCTCCTTTTCCTGCCCGGCACAGCTGCACGGAGCGCCCTCCAGAGCTGCCAGACCAGGACTGCACACCAAGCCAGGCTGCTTCCTGCAGTGAGTTTTTTTCCACGTTATCCAGTGCATTTCAGCGTCTCTGTGAAGAGCTGCTTTCTGAAATGGTGCAGCGAAACTGCACCAATTTCCAGCACTTCTGGGGAACAGCACCCTCACTGCAATAAACAATCCGGAGCTGTTGTTGCTACAGCCCCATCCTGGTAATCAGAAGCACATCAGAAGCATTAGAGAGCCCATCTCGAAGCCATCTTTCTTCACAAGTAGCACAGAAGCAGGAATAATTTACAGCTTCTATTAAATCCCACTAAAATGGAATCCAGAAGAATATTCATAATGCTCTGTGCCTTTCATTTGAGGATCTCAAATCCCTTTGCAAGCATTAACTACACGAAGCTTCAAGCCATTTTTGTTTTATAAGCAACACTTCCCTCCCAGCTGAGGAGCAGCCATTGCTGGGGTGCCCTGGAGCTCCCTGCAGAGCCCTTCAGGACAGACTGAACATGGCCAGGACAGGGCAGCTCTCCTGGGAAAAGCCATCCAACTTTAGGCAAGCACCAGGATTGCTGGACAGTCAGTGGGGACAGTCAGGGCTTGGCTCTGGCTCACACAGGACATGCTGGTGATTTGAAGAGCTCTGCCTTACCCCACAGGTTGTGATGACTGGATCCTTAAACACACTGCAGCACAGCTGGCAGCACAGCTTCACAGAGGGCTGCTCAGCAAACACCAGGGGCTCCTGCAGGGACAGAAAGGGACAAAGACAGCACAAGGATTAGTCCAAACACAAGAGCCTTCCTCTGCAGAAGGAACAAAATACTCCTCAGAGGTGAGTCTCGGGGAGCCTGGGGCACTGGGCACACTGGGGGGGGGGGTTCACTATCTCAACCAAACAATCTGGATCTGCTGAGTTCCAGTAAGAGGCAGGGGAAGAACAAACTTGGGAGTGGCTGGAGACCCTCAGCTCATCACAAACTGGGGCCCACCAGCATCTGGCAGGATCAGGACCTGACAGCAAACTGCTCAGACCAACTTCTCTGTCAGTGACTCAAGTCACCAGACCTGTGTGAGCTGCACTGGCTGAGACTTTGTGCTTGGTTGGACTGAACAGAGCGTTGTCAAAAATGTACTAAACCTGGAGTTTGAAAGCAATTTTAGAGCAGCCTGCCCTTTTGTATTTTTGAAACATCCTGGAGGAAGGGCTCTTTCATTCCCTTATGAAGCAGAAACAACATTGTTTCTGCTGCAATGGGCCCATCTCTCCAGTTTTGTTTACCAACTACGACTGCCAGCACGGGGCTCTGAGCACGTCCTCCTGGAGCAGCACAGCTCTCCAGGACCCTGAGCATGATCTCCTGGAGCAGCACAGCTCTCCATGCCATGCCAGAGCAGGGCTTCACATTTCAGAGCATTTCAAATCAATCTCTGCAGCTCAGTCTCTCTTTTCATCCCATACTGCTCTCAGAAATGCAAACACAACCCCCTGGGTTCCTAAATATGAAACACACTTTCATCCCAGATCAGTGGCAAAACACCACCTGACCTTTTATTCATCCAGTCTGGGGTTAGTTACTGGGTCACAAGCTAAGCTCAGCTTAAAAGTGTCCTCCCCTAATATGCAGACAACTCCTTGCACTCTCCAGGGCTTACAATCAAGTCAGTGGGGTGCCACACATCCCTGAATGTGGGATAGGGCTCCAAATCCGTGGGGAATTGTATTTCTCTTGCTGCCTGGGGCCAGACCACCAGCCTGAGCCTTGCAACCCCCACTGCTCTGCAGCAGAGCCAGGGAATCACACAGGACTTTGCAAAGGTTTACAGTTTATCTGGGAAGCAGAAAAGCCTCACCATTGTCCTTGCTCCACAGACAGGGAAATGGCTCAGAAGGAAGCAAAGCCAGTGGTGGAAACAAAGTTAAAGCCGGAGTCCTGACAGCCAGGCACCACAAAAAACCTGTCTGTGACAGCTCTGTGTTCTCACAAGAGTCCACTAAGTTACTCTTTTGTCACTGCACTTCCTAATACTGCTCCTTCAGACAATCCCAAATACCTACTGGCTCCTCCTCTTCCTCATGGAGTGAGAACGTCGAGCGCAAGGACATGTTGGACTCGGAGTGCAATGAACGGACGGAGATGGCCGAGTCAGAGCGGCGTGGGGTGCTGATCGGGGGCTTCAAAGAGATAAAACCAGCTCTGGTTAGTCCAAGTAATTCCCAAACTCTGTGTGAACACTTCAAGTTCAGTCCTCTCCCTCCCAAAACTACGCTGCTCCACTCCAAGCTGCACTGAGCGGCCCTGCTGCTGTGTGCCCTTCCCTGCACTGTGCTCAGAGACAGGATTAAGGTTTAACTTCCTAAACCGGGCTGACATCTAAATTCCAAGCACGTCCCTTTCTCCAAGGTGCATTCGCTGTGCACTTACCGTGGGCACCCGCAGAGCAATGGTCTGGAAGAATTAATCCTTCATGGAAAGCTCTGTAAATCTCCCCCAGAGACTGCTCCAGCTCCTGCCCTGTCTCCAATCTCTGCAGCAGCACTTGTTGTTGCACTCGCTATCTAACTTCTGCCAAATTTCTTTGCGTAAGTGTGGAGACTTCCTTCTATTGAATTCCCTCACAGCCCGGCTCTGCCGCTTCCTGCTCGGGAGGGGAGAGCGGAGCGGACACCGCGCACCGACCAACGACCATCCCCCTGGCTGCAGCGGCCTTGGGATTGGCTTTGAGGGAATGCTGCCTCTGGAATATTAACCAGCAGTGCATCTCTGAGGGGGGAATATCAACCAGCAGCACGCAGCCAAGATGAAACTTGGCGTCAAAGCAAAACTGGACGCTCTTCAGATCATGAAGTGTCTGGATTTGGGGGTCCCAAATCTGCCTGGGAGTGCAGCCAGGGCTGGGTTACTTGAGAAGAGATGCTCCTGGTAGACTAGGAAGGGCGCAGAGGGAAGGAATAAAGGTAGTCAAGGAGCAGAATGGATGTTTTGACAAAGAAATGGGAGAATGAAGCTGTAAGCTTCTGGCACCTGGCACCAGGAGGTGACCGATGGCACCTGCATGTGTCACCTCTACATGGCTTGGATGTAGCTATGTCAGCCACCAACTCTGAGCAGTGCTGGCTGGAAGCAGCTCTGGAGATCACTGGCTGGAATTGAGACTCTCCCTGACCCTGGAGGCCAGCCCTGGCACTGCCCAGCTGGAACAGGGGAAGCTGCACGGACCAGACTCTGCTGCCCCAGGTTCCTGTGCAGCACCTTGGGAGCAAAACACTTTCCCTCGTATTCCATCTGAACCTTGTGAGCTGCAATCTGTGTGTGCATTCTGGGTCAAAGGGGGCAACATCAGACTCAGGGACGGACAAAGGCAATGTAAGAGGGCAGGGGGGCAGTCAGGAAATCCAGCAATGAAAGCTGTAGGATGAGGTTCAGAGGCTGCAGTCTGAGTGCAGCCTGGCTGGGCTGCAGAAGAGGAGCAGATCAGGATCCTGCTGGTTCCTCTGCTGCTTCAGTTTTATGATCCTGCACTCCCAGGAGCTCAGAACTGCTGCATCTGCTCAGAAGCCAAAGCATAAAGCTTTTTCTTAAAGACAGCATATTTATTGGCTAAACAGGTAAACCTTGAGGAGGAAGGGTTATAATGAGTAAATCAATTTTATGTGTATCCATTCAGCTTATTATTTTCCTCCACTAGTAACAGAAGTTATTAAAATAACAAGAATGACTGTGCATAGTTCCCACTCTGGAGGTGACACGGAGTGGAGGGCAGCACAGGCAGGCTCTGCAGGGAGGCAGGTTTATCACAAGAAGCATCCTGGGTGGCCAGCAATGGAAAGGGGGACTGCTGCCCAAAAACATTTCCAGGAGATAGAGGTGTGAGACACAGACTTTCAAGGCTTCTGTAACACTGTGGGCTCAGAGCCCTGTGTCCTGGTTGGGGTAATGCTGGTGTTAACTACACAGGGGACAAATGAATGTGCTGAGAAAGCTCCCTCATTCCCTTGGCTGCAGAGACAATGTGGAATGGCAGAGGATGTGCTGGCATTTACAGACCCTCTGGGTCTCTTCAGCCTTGCTTCTTGCCAAGCAAACAAGGACAAGACTTGAGAGACCTTATTTCTGCACTAAACATCAGGTGCATCTTCAAACAGCCCAAGGATGGAGCTCCCAAATCTTCTGATGGAAGATGGATAGTTTTTGGCTGGTAATTCAGTCCAGCCTCCAGTTCAGAGGTGAAGCTCCCTGTAAACAACAGACTTTGGACAGCCAGGCAGCCTTCATCCACTAGTATCTATTTGTGCCAATATTCAGCTGTAACCTTTAGCTGCAGTTCCCATCACCTCAGCTACAAGTGCAGGCTCCACGTGAAGGCTCCAGCAGAGTCCTCACAGGGACCTGAGGCACTATTTTCATGGAAAGCTGACAGCAGCTGCTCAGTAATCCCTGCCTTGCACACAGAACACACTGCTCTGCTTTGGGTTTCATTAACAGAAGCTTTAAAAAGAAAGAAAAAGGGGTGGTGGAGGTCACAGAAGGGCTCTGACGCGTCTCCAGCTGTCTCACTGATGGCTGACAAGCCCTTGGCAGCTTCTGGAGGAGGGAAAACTCAGTGATGAGGAAGGGAAATCCCAGATTATTTCTTGACAAAGCAAATGAAGCTTTCTAAAAGGGTTAGTGAGTCTGTCTGGAGCGGCAGGCAGAGCAGGGCTGGGGTGGTTCCGGATTGTCAGCACCTCATGCTGTTTCCTGAACCACTCATTAATTCTCCTGCTATTTTTGCTTAAGAACATTTAGCACTCCGGGGAAGGTGGGCTGAGACTGCCCAAGAGGACTGGGGCTGATCCCAGGAGAGATCTCCCCCATTTTTGGCTGCACACCTCAGTTCGTGACACCAGGGTTTTCAAAGGAGCTTTTCCACCAGACCTGGCTAAATGAAGTATCCCCAGCATCCCCTCCCCTGCAAAACTGCTCCCCTCTGCCCTGTGAGAACTGCCCAGCTCGTGAGAAGGGCACAGTGAGCCCAGCACTGAGCCCACAGGGGTCATGCTCACAGCCAAGGGTGGCCTGGAGCAGTGGCCCAGCTCCGTGGGGTCAGTGAGGGGATGGAGAGCTGCACTTGCCAAGGACACCAGGCAAATGTTCAAAGGACTTGTTAGGAAAAAAAACAAACAAAAAACCCCATGGGCTCACATTAAACGCAGCAAGATGTCTGAGCAACAGAAGGAACTTTATAGGATGCTGACAATAAAGCTCTTTGCAATCTGGTGTCAAATTTATTTTCAGAAGTGTTGTAGCTCCATATTGTTGCTGACCCCAGTCTGTCAGGGCATAACTCCAGCAGCAGGGATCCCATTTACCTCTAGCTTGGAAGCTGGGTCTTGTAACCTGACTAAGTCTACAAGTACTTTATTTGAAGTTTACTACCAACATGCTTAAATCTAAACAGAGCTCATGGTTGTGAGACGTGGTTGGAGCACCAGGGACAGGAGAAGGTCCAGGCCTCAGAGCTGTCCATCCTTTCCCTGAGGTTTGCTTTGCTGTTGCTGTTCCTGATTTAATTGATTTAGCTGATTTAATTTCTCTCTAAGCAGCTAACCCTGAGGCCTGTTGAATCACTAAATTCCCCAAAACCAGCTTACTCAGAAGTGAGTAAGAAAGCTGGATGCAAAATTGGGAAGTTCTTTTCCTCAAAAATATTGGGAGACACGGGAATGGTTTGTGTGAGAAGCCCCCAGGAGCCCAGCACAGTCTGTAGTGTCCAACATCCCACTCTGCAGGTTCCAAACCCGCTCCCTGTGGCCAGAAGCCCCATCTGGAGGTGGGAATAGGAATGGATTCTACGGCCTCAACTGCAGAGCCAGCTGGGATCCATCCAACAGGCCCTGACCAGACTGCCTGGCCTCAGTCACAGCCCAGACATCCCTGGCTGTGCCTGTTTCCTCCTGAGCACCTGCTCTCCCAGAGCCAGGTACACACACAGGTCTGTGGCATTTGTACTTCCCGGGCTTTGAAACCACATAACCATTTCAAGCAGTGTGAAAATGAGCACCAGCAGCACCAGCTTAAAGCCCCAGGTCAGAATCAGCTGCTTCCCCACGGCACCAACCACAGGAGCAGCCAGGAATGCTGAGGCTGGTCCTGCCCCCAGTGCAGGAATCTCCCTTGGATATAACAGTGCACAGGAATGATGAGGGAGGCAGAGGACTCCAGAGAACACCAGACATCTCTCATCTCTCAGCTAAGCCAGTCAGGAGGGCCCTGGCAACACCTACCATGCCATCGTCCTCATCCCGTGGGGAATAGGTGAGTGTGCTGGAGGAGGACGGGGTCCGGCGGTGCTGCTTGAAAGTGTTGGTCCCGTCAGCTTAGAAGGGAATCAAAGAAAGAAAAACAAGCATTTAGGCTCCTCAGAAACATTCCCAAACTATGGGTCAGCCTCTGTAGCTGTAAGTGTTCCTTAGAAAAGGAAAAGACTCGGGATTCTCCAATTCCAGTTCGTGACTGGACATATCAGGTAGAACAACCCTGATCACTGAGAGCTTGCCCAGAAAAGAGCACAGGTTATATTCTGTCAGGTTCACAAGGTAAAAACACTATTAAAAGGAAACTTTATACTCCCACATATCTCAGTCACCAACAAAAATTGCTCGGATCCAGGAAGGTCTGGATACTCTTGCAGCACAAGGGAGGCATGGTAAATTAAATATGAGATATTTGTATAGAGATTGTGTTACTGACTCATGTAAAAGTTTGAATGTAAATATTCTGGAGTCCAAAACCACCTAGAGTCCAAGACAAATGTAATCCAAACATCTTCCTCAGGCACATGTTAATTTTCTTATCTAAATCAGTGTCAAGTCTTCTTGTTTCTACTAAAGGAAGGATATTTGTATTCCAAAATAAAACCAGACCTCTTCCTACATTCACCCCACGTGTCAGGCCTCAGGCTTCCCTCACCTGCTGAGCTTTGAGGAAAAAGGCACAGGAATTCTAAATAAGTAGAGGCATTTGCATCCTCTCCTGTCTGAGCTAAAAATGGCAATGGGGGTTTCACCAAAGCTCCAGAGTGACTCACAGTCAGGCACAAGAGTGAAGATGGAGTTTTCAGTGCTGGTGACGATTGTCACAGGGATCAGTAAGATTTGGTGCTGAAATCAGTATCAAACCTTGTTGTACTATCCCAATTTCAACAGGAGCTTCCCAGTGGTGCTGCTCAGTTTGCCTAAGGGGAGACAATTCCTGTGCCTTCTCATTTCCTTCATGTCTGGACACTGGGGCTGCAAAGCACTAAAACCAGCCCCTGGCTAATGAACACAGTGATTCTCCCAACAGCTTTATGGTTTGTAGAAAACAACAACAACCCTGGAATGACCCACAGTGCTTTGGTGAGATGCTCCAAGCATGAGATACTCACGCTTTGTGATGGTGGTCACAGCAGAGTAGGCTGGTCCAAAAGTTGTTTCCATTCTCGTCTGAAATATGGAGGAAATGAAGGTCAGGGCATATAAAGGCTTCAGATCTTTCCCAAACCGGTGAAAAAACACACATACATGTTCCTAACTTTTATCTGTGAATGCTGAGAATCTTAAGAGGCAAGGAAATACCATATTTCAGAAGGCATCTAGTCCCTCTGCTCTGCCACCAGCAGTGACCTTACCCCGTTAGTGTTTTCTGAAGGAGTGATGTTTGTTGTGCCACTGGAGAATCGATTGTAGCGAGCGTTCTTGTTTGAGCTCATAATCTAGGCCAGCATCTGTTAGTCATGGGAAGCTTGCTCTGGGGAAGAAGGGAGACAGAAAGGGAATTAGGTTCACTGTATGTATTTTCCTGGGCTCAGAGAACACTCTCCTGCAGCACTAAGTCCAAGTGTATATCTAAACTCACTTAAACCTGGATTTTCAGGAGGAAGAGGCAAGGACAAAGTCAGATTCCTTTGAATCATTCCTGGATGAGAGTTCAGCATTTTCTAAAAATATTATCTTTTAAAAGGGGATTCATTTCTCTTTTTACACTGTTTATACAGATTTTCACTAAGCTCAAGTTTGCAAAGTCAAGAATTCCACAACAATAACCTGCATAAACACCTGGAGTTTGCTTTCTTTAACCTCAGCTGGAACCTGATGGTGCTTCAGGGCACAATCATGCTGTTATCCCAGTGGATCTGACAAGATGCTCTCAGTCTCCTTCGGAGCCAGGTACCCTTAGGAAGGAGCTGCACCTTCTCTGCCATCACATGGAGGCACTTCTGGCTCAAGCAGGAGTTTCCCTGAGAGAAGCCAAGGGCTCAGCTGGGCACTGAGCCCTCCTCCCAGGCTCCATCCCTGCAGCTAGCAGGTTCTGCTTGCACTCCCAGGCTGTCCCAGCCTGCCCAAGGGGCCCTGTGCTCTGGGAATAAGCTGCTCCAGAAGAATCCTGACTAAGAGACCCCTTTCTGTCCAAGGTAAGTCTTGGTATTTTCACTGCCAGCAGCAGAGTCCAGGGGCTAAACAAACACACACCTGCAGTGAGGACAGACAGGCCAAAAAGGGTTTACTGAGACAAAAAAAATCCCTTTCTGCAGGACAAGAGTCTTGTAAGGAACACCCCACAGGTGTCCCCAATGCAGAGCTCCTGGTCCTGTGAGATGGCTCTGCTCCAGCCAGGCTTCCACACTCCTGCTGCTCCCACTGCCAGCTGCTGGGAGGTGAAATCTCTCAGGGGTTTCCAGCAGTTGGTTTTCCCTGGTCTGGAGGTGACAAGTCCTAAATCTCCAAGCTCCTTACAGAACCACCACTGTGATTTCTCCACTTTACAGAAAGGGAAACTGAGGCTCAAAGAGAGACAGGGTCCCACCATGTAGCTGTGACTGGGGACTTGTCCAGGGATTCCCACCTCCCTGGAGAGCCCTGGCACAAGGCTGCCTGCACATGGGGCTGGGCACACCCTGCACCTGCATTTTAAACACTGCAAAGGTGACAGTCGAGCTGTCCTTGACCAAGGCTCTGCTCAGGGCCTGACACAGCACTTCCTGGGGCTCCCTGCAGCTCTGGATCCAACAGCTGTCAGGCAGCCAGAAACAGCAGCAGCAGAATCCAGGGAATTGCTACTCAGGACTAAATTCTCAGAAAAAGCTACAGTCTAAAACAAAAAAAAAAAAAATCCCACAAAAATTCCAATGAAAAACCAAACAAACAGAAACTCCGAAGCCAAACCCAAAACCATCTTAAAACCAGGGATCTGGATAATGTTTTCCACACATGTGACAGCACTGTCCTGGCTCTTTGCAAATGCCAGATCCCTGAGGAGATGCTGAGCAGAGTTGCTGGAGCTGTCTCAAAACCAGCAGGACTGAAGCAGTGTTGTGCTGCTGCATCAGGGAGACCTGCCGAGTTTAAAGCTGGGCTCCAGCAAGCCAGAAGTTTGGCTGTGGCCATCAGATCCTTTTATTCCTGTCAGTGTTCCTTAGGGCACAGAGATTAGAGGGAACTGGGAGGGTGGGTGGTGGGAGAGAGCAGGCAAATTTTTTGGGTAACACTGGCTGTGGCCCCATGAGGTCTGAACCCCACCCAGCCTCTCACCCTCCAGCAGCCTTGGACCAAGCCCTGGAGCTTCCTCCCAGCACAAATTCACCTCTTCTGCACAGCATTTCTGGACTACAAAGCCTGAAGATCAAAGAGTCAGAAAGGTGTCCAGCTGGGGTCTCCAGATGATGTAGTGCTTATAAATAAAGCAAAGCCAAGTACTTCCACGAGTGATGGCATAAACTGCCACATTTCCTGGGGTCTCATGTCTCAAGGCTGCATTATCTCATCCTTAATCATTGCCTGCATGTATCCCTGAACTTCCCCTCTCCATAGGTTCCCTATGTGTAACAATGCAGCTAAGCTCTGGTCATTTCCACTAAGGTAGAAATAGAGGGACTCACTTTTCAGGGATATGAATCCATGATTCCTTCTTCAGAGAACCTCAGCAACATCTACCCAGTGACCCTTTATCCTGCACTGCTCAAAGCCAAGAGCAGGGATATGCTCCCACCTCACCATTCGTGTCAGCATTAAGGGAACCTCGCATATAAAATACTCCTATTGGGTTTTAGGGCAAACAATCATTCCCAGATGGAAAGGGAGGAAGCCCATCCTAATGGTGGATTGTGGGCTGTCTGGAGACTCCTACAGAAGCTTCATTCTCATTTTCAGGGTATGTATCACCTTCAGATGTAACAGATGGAGCGATGGGAAAGCACTCGGAGACAGGGAAAACCAAAAATGGGGACAACCAACAGCTTGAGGAGTTCTGGAATATCCTTAAACGTTGGATCAGACGTGCAGCCAACAGTGACTGCAGGCACCTGAGCCACTACAATGACCCCTACAGCACCTGCCTGGGAACTTCCCAGGGATAACCCACAGGCCATGGAAAAGTGCCCTGGAGAGGCACTAAGGAAGCATCTCCAGTCTCACCCTGCCCCAAAATCACACTCAAACAGATGCAACAGAGCTTGGATAAATCCAAAGTGAGGAAGAGAACGGGGATTTTCCACTCACTGTCCGTAAGCACGACCTGTGCTCTGCAGCTTGGCTGAGCAACCTACCTGCAAGTAGCAGCAGGGACCTGCTCTGTCTGCTCTGAACAGAGAGCAGAGGAACATGAGCAACGGGAAAAATGCTGAGTAGAATATCAGCCAGGCTGCAGAACACCAGCAGCCACAGGAATATCTGATTTCAGCCCAAATCTCTGCACCCACCAAAGGCAGGAGCATTTCAGCAGAGCAGACACCTCCCCAGAGCACTGTCGGACAGCTCCTCCCATCTTCCCAGAGGTACTGAGAAAGGCCTTTTCCAACTGGTATCAAGCAAGTTAAAAGGAGGCAGAAAAGAGCTGATCCTGTCAATATTAATATCAGATTCCTACAGCACTTACAAAAATCTCTGCCAGATTTCTGCACCTTTGCCTGGCATCTGAACCCTGCCTGCTACACTGTCCTGTGCTCCAGGCCTGGAGGATGCATGTCCCTCCTGGGGATCCCAGCCTGTGACCCAGATTCTCCTTGCCCAGAGTTAATTTTTCTAATATTTTTTTTTTTTTACCATGCAACTTCAGTGTTTTTTAGAGTAAACAAAGAGGGGAAAAAATCTACCCTGGAAAAGGAAGCAGCGGGGACCAGCTATCCAGTAAATCCCACGGCTGATCGTAAGCAGATGCGAGGGAGGGGAAGGGATGAGTTTCAGCATTTGCACACCACGGGGATCAACTCAGGCTTTTGAGACTCAGCGAGAAGAAAAGCCTTAAAATCCTTCTGTAGTAATCCAAGCAAGGAGAAACCCAACCACCAGTAGCTGCAGAGGCAGCTGGGGGAAGCAGCGCTCCTCCTACTGCTGAGTGGAGATCCAGTGGGATCAGCCATGGATCACACTGTTGCCAACCCTGCCACTGCACCTCAAAGCAGGGAGAAGAATCACCTCTGGGACCAGGGGCCTGGCTAATCATAGAATCCTGGAATGGTTTGGGTTGGAAGAGACCTTAAAGGTCTCCCAGTTCCAACCCCTGCCATGGGCAGAGAACCACTGGCCATGCTGAAGAGGGGTCTGGTGGTATCTGCCTTCTCTCCGCCCCCAGAGCACACACAGTTATTCCCAGAAGATCCTTACAACCAAGCACAAAGGCCAAGGCTTTGAAGGGGGGACATGGCACGAGGAGAAGGGACAGCAGAGTATCCCAACCTTCACAAACATCACATAACCTGCCTGGTCCTGTCGAGAGCCAGTTCCCAGTGCAGGAACCCCACCTTTGCAGGCACCAGGGCACTGCTGGGCTGTGTGCTCTGGCTGCTCTCCAGGTGAGCCACGGGCACGGCAGTGGGTCCTGCAGGTGACACGTGCCACGACTGGCAGCTGCAGAGTCCCACAGTGTCTCCCTGCCAAGATACCAGCAAGAGTTTCCTTTGCCTTACGCAACCGTCAGCCCGTGACGCTCAGTGTGTCCTACATCTGCTGGTTCTTCTTTCCCCCCTCCTTCCTCTCTCCATTGAAGCCCTCTCCAAGGTTATTCACCCCCAAGGAAACCACTGGAGCAGCAAAATCATCCACAGCAGGAGTGTTTGCCAGCGGGAAAGACAGGCATGGGTTATCCTGCTCCGGCTGGAACAGCCCCTGGGTGACGTGAACTTCCTTATCTCACAGCCTGGGTATTTATGGCATAAGAGCTTCTGTTCCTCTTACAACACCACAGTGAGGACAAGAAGGGTTACACATCCTTGAGAGTATTGGCACATCCCCAGGGAAATACTCTGAGAAAAGCTCCCACAGCCCAGCTCCACGGGACAAGGGGAAGGCACACGGGTGCCGAGAGCAGGGGGTGGCTTTGGGGGCTACCCCCACTTCCTTGTCCATATCCCAAGCTCTCACACATCCAGGGCTCCTCTGGGGGAGGTCACAGGGCCAGTATATCCAGCCCAGTTGGGGCAGGCTGTCTACCTTGTCCTTCTGCAGGACCAAGGTGTTGCCCACACGTTCTGTGAACTGGTTCTTAGTGGCCCACAGCGACCAGCAAGGGAACATCTCGAATCCCAGAGACAGCCTGGTGACAGTCACACTGGCTTCCCTGGTATCTGTGGTGGAAATACCACCCAAAAGAGCTTGTGAGCTGCATTAACAGGGCTTTAAGAACACGGTTACCTGCTCTAGGTGACCCTGCCTTGGCAGGGAGTTGGACTAGATGGTCTCCAGAGGTCCCTTCCAACTCTAATTAACTATTCTGTGACTACCAATATCTCATGGTGATGAGGACTATGAGCATCTGGTCTGACTTGTAAAACACAGGCCTCAGAATGCTGAGCTACCCCAGATCCCTGAGATAGACACCTCTCAAGTCAGTCACCAGACAGGAAGCAGAGGGTGGAGCCCAATGGTCACTCCTCAGGTTAGGGTAAGATCCTTCCAACCCAAACCATTCCAGGATTCCACGATTTTCACAGCTGCTGAAGACAGAACTGATGCTCTGACCCAGCAGGACATTTCTTACACTCTTTGGGAGGCCTCTCAAAGGCCAGGATTGTATGCCAAGATGTGCAGTCAGTGCTAGAAGGACATAAAACCAGAATAGAAGTTCAGCCTTACTGACAGAACGTGGCACCTCCATCTGGTGGGTGTTGGGTTCTGGGGAACAGTCTTTGTATTGTTCAGAAGTTTCTCCTGTAAGTCATACAAACTTTCCTGAGACCAAAATTGTATTGAGCTGTCATCAATAAAAATAAAACTGATATTTTTAATTGCTGCTGCTTTTACCAGCGCTT